TATTTGAATGGTTATACTATGTATTGCAGAAGCTCAACTCAAATTCAATTTTAGACATCACCAATGTATTTGGTGAAGGACATCAAAATGGATTATATAAATTATATCTGCAACAATGGTACTGGATTGCAAAATAAGGGTATATCTGCAATTAGTTTTCTAGCTTAAAAAGTATACTTTCAAAAAAAGCTAATATGATGATTGTAAGTAATAAGGTAAACTAGTCTGTCATTTTTATTCTCTTGTTTTTGTGGTACTGGGGATTGAACCCAAGATGTCACACATGCTAAGATACAACTCAGCCCTAGTTTGTCATTTTTAATACATTTTTCTGATTAGAAAAAAGTTTGTCATACATTCTACCCTGTAGTTTTAAGCTTTCTAGTTTATCTCTGTATGTCTCCCATAAGGAAAAGGATCAGGAAAAGGGAAGATTCCAGTTCTTCTGCATTATTTACAGCCTTGTGTGCAAAGCATACCTCCAAGACCCAGTATTATTTCATAATGTAATGGGTTGAAATGTGTCCCTCATAAAGATTGGAAGTCCTAACCTTATGGTACCTCAGAATGTTATCTGATTTGGGGATGATGTCATTGTAATTAAAACTTGCTATGTTAAAACCTACTGGAGTAGCGTGGGCCCATAATTCAATATGGCATCCTAATAAGAAGACACAAATTTGAATGTAGGTGCAGAGGGAATAGAGCCTTGTGAAGACAGAGGCAGTGATTGGAGTTACTCTCTCACAAGACAGGGAATGCCTTGGCTTATCAGAAGCTGGAAGATGCAAGGAAGGAACCTCCCCTAGAAGCTTTGAAGGTGAAATGGGACTGCCAACACCTTGATTTTCGATTTCTGTTCTTTGGAACTATAACACAATAAATTACTATTGGTTTAAGCTATTCAGTTTGTGGTACGTTGTTATGGCAACCATAGGAAACTAACACACACAATTTCACGAGTCTCCTAATCTTACCGCCTTCTGAATTTAGGACTCCTTTCCCCAAGTTTGGATTTGCTCGACCCCCGGATTTAAAACTGCACTACTTTTTCTGGCTTTCAGTTTTTATTTCTTTTCTTAGTCATAATGAATAACCATCCTCCAATGACTTTATGGAACAGGGGTGTGTGGGATCCAGTCCAAATTAGTTTGCAGGAAATAACTATTACATGCTACTCAGAAACATGATTTTTAAAATTACATTGTACAAGCTTTAAACTAGGTAAACTAAAAGGTAATAAACTATCAAAATTCATCACTTCTTTCTAATTATTTGACTATATTTTACTACTCTATGTTCTTGAGCATATTTAATTTACATCAATAATTTATTAGTATTAGTTTATTTACATCCATTTTATCTGTGTGGTGAAAGCACTATGTAATGCTATACTACTGCCCATCTTTTCCCAGTTCACATTGGCAGCTCCATGTCAGTCATGGTATAAATATTTACATGATAAAAATTGTCAAAGCTACAAATCAATTGTTTTTGTATTTTCAGGAAGCTAGTTGCAAACATTTACCCAGATGGCACTGAAATAAACAATAAAGTCCATTCTATTACCAAGCTGGGTTGGCTACATAGGACCTGGCCAAGATAACTGAAGATATCTCTTTCTGGGCTTTACGTTGAACTTTTCAGTAGGAATTCAGAGCTCTGGAAAATAAGACAAAGCAAATAATGCACTCTATTACAAATAATGATGGCCAAGAGATTTGACAGGGATTGTGAAAAGGGGATAAGGGAGACTTAGATGCTGGTGACCTACTTTTAGTATTGTCTACTAAATCTCTCAGGGAAGTAGTTAGCTCTGATTATAAATATTAATTAGATTTCAATTAAAGCACTATGTAAAGGCTCTGTGCTTCTTAAACAGAGATATTTTGGATGTACAAAAGATAGATAGATAGATAGATAGATAGATAGATAGATAGATAGATAGGGGTAGATAGCAATAGATGTGGTGTAAATATGTACAACTTGTTCAAACTGGTGATAAACTAGATGATATCACTAAGTAAAACAGACCCAAGCAGCTACAAAATCATAGGTGAATCAGATGACTTCATAAACATGGCAGATAAAACCACAGTAGTGCTGGCTGATATGCAATTCCACCATATAAGGGTAAAGTCAACATTCTTACCCTTTGCTATGACATTTTCCTTGTGACACCTATAAGCTGAACAATAATATTTATAGGAACAGCAGTTCTGTTCCAATAAAGATTTAAGAATGGAATATCCATTAAATGGTTACTTCCTAAGATTCTCAAGGGTAATTTGAGGCAGTTGGCTGCTTAATATTCTTCTTCACTGTGAGGAGTGGAATCTCAGGTTAGAGACTGCCTTTGTCCTCAAACTCTGTGCCAGCAATAGTTGGGAATGCTGCAGACTTTCAACCAGTGCCAGAGAGAAGGGGAAGGCCTTTCTTCTTTTAACCACAATGTCATCAGCAGATTAAGGAGTGGTGTTACCCATCCTACACCAAGTCTCACTGAGTCTACTTTTGCTAAGTCCTGTGTCTCATACCCGGAAGTGTTCCAAGTGTGGAATGTGCGAAGCATACATCACCTCAGTCTGTTGTGACTGAGACATTCTTTCAAAACGTGTCATCTGAGTCCAACAATATCACTATTTAATTAACCATTGGGTTTTATATATATACATACAAAATAAGGAAGAGGCTCCCTTTCCTTCTCTGTGAACACAATCCAACTGGATAATAAACAGTCTCCTAAAGTTCTCCATAGTTTACCATTCATTTTTACATAGCTATTGCATTTTAAATAAGAAAATAGGCAAATCTAGCTCATACTTAAGGCAGTCTCAAAAGGAAACATACAATAAAATATTAAATGTATCACAAATACAATGTACAATGGCTAATTTTATCACTTTGCTTTTAAATATATTAGGCCTAGGGAAACACCCTGGATTTGGTGTGTTGCAGATGGATATGGATAGATAGCAATAGATGTGGTATATGACAGGTAGGAATAGCCAGGGAGTGCTGCTAAGAGGGCTCAAGAGGTTTTCCTCTCTACCTTTACCTGTTCTTCCTGTGTTCCCTTTTTCACTTGTTGCTGACCTCATTCCTAACCGAGTCCGCATCCTGGACCCATTGCTACAGGATCTTGCCAACTAGTTTTCCAAACCAAGATGTGTAATTAACATAGCAGGTCAACTACCACTGACCCGAAAACAAACTAACAAAAAAAAAAAATCTGTTCAAGACCAAAAGGTAAAAAGACCTTGTTTTCAAATATTTTGGGTAAGAAATGTCCTCAGATTAAACTATATGACAGAGTTAAGTCAAATGAATTATAGGCCTAGTGAAAGTTCTGTGATTCTAATATATTCTAAAAATTAGCTAAACTAGCATTCAAAATATCTCTATTTTGAATTAAAATATAATAAAGCATTAAACAGAAACTTTTAAATGCTTAACATAACTAAGATTTTAAGTTTATGCTGCTTCTATATTTCATTAGAACAAAATGTTAATTTACATATATACCACACTTTTACTACTTGGAGTTTTTTTCTGTTCACTTACTTGAAAAGGAAGAAAAAAATCTTACATTTTTGAGTAATATTTAGCATCAAATATTCATTGTAGTGTCTATGACTCATAGCAAAAGAGGTAGTCATTATTTTATATCAATGATGATTTAACAAAAAAAGTTTTATTGACTAAATTTAAGCTAAATATTATATCTGTAATATTCCTTATGTCAAATTTCATAAGGATTTATAATTAAGAAAAAAACCCTGTTCTTGACTGAAATATAAGCCCTCCATAATTACATGTCACACTGCAATTCTTATGCTATGAACTTGTGGTTTTCCAAATATAGAACAAAACATGTAGTTTTATCAGTGAGTTGATATTTAGTCTTTTTCTCCTTTGATTCCATAAATGGTGGTTCTAACTTTGAAATGGACCACCTAACTTACAACTATTTCCTTCATTTCTTTTTAAGAGAAAAAAATAACATACACATTTCTGCTGTATTGACAAGAGAATTCAGCAACTCTCCCCCTGCCATGACCTTATCATTCAGGATCCCTGTTTTCTCTCTTTAGAATGTTTCCTAAATGAAGACTGATTAAAACCAAACCCAGGGATGCATCTTCCAAAGTTCTTACCAGTGTAACATCTGAGTGTGACATCTCTAGATGTTACATCAGTGTAACATCTCTAGAAATGGAGGGCTAGAGGAACCAAGAACACAAACACTTGTCCCAGAAATAGAGGGGCCTAAACTTTGGAATATTTCAATAAAAAAGAAAATTTGTATTTTAATAGATTGAAAATAGTATCTTCTACTTGAAGATCATTGTCACAAACCCAATGTGGAATCAATCCTATTTTGTTTATAATAATTTACTTAATAGAAGTATCTTTAAATTTGGTGCAATTGGAGTTTCCCCCAAGTGGTTGAAAAATTACAGAAGACAACTTTTTTCGCTAGCTAAGCTCAATGTTTTTCTTCCATAATTATAGTAAAAGTACCTCAGCAACAGCTCCCCCTTAAAAATTTCACTGCTATCTCAGTGGAATTATTCTGAATATTTAATTTTTCACTTTAGTTGTGATGATATCCGGTAATTGTAGGAAGAAAATTTTGGACTGTACATTTTTCTTTGAACGTTTAGTTAAATCTCTTCATTTTTCTGATTAGTGTAAAATGATTAGGAAAGGCTTCTAAAGTTAAATAATGTTTGATTTTAGGAAACTGGGAATGGAAAGTAACACCAAAGTTATTCTTCTGCTTCTAATATTCAAAAATTATTTTTAAAGTTGTAGCTATCAGAAGTTTTGGCTGGGAAAACTGAATACCTAATTCTCTAATACGGGTTCTCCCAAGTAGAGTACAAAATGTTGAAGCTCTGCTCCTACCAGGGAGGTTGAGAAAAATGTTGCTCTTCTAATCTGCGATATACGGTACAAGGGTTGGCCTTAGTTTGGTCCACCTGCCAGTGGAGTTTAAAGTTTCGAGGCTCAGAGGAACACAATGACTTGGATCAAACACTCTAAATGAGAAGAGGGCATTTCTGCAGCATCCAGGGAGTCGTCAAAGTCCTGCTAAACCAACTATCTCCTTTTTAAAGCGTTCATGCTGCGGAAAGAAACGACTGATCGACTTCCTCTTTCAATGACCAGAGATTATTTCTGACAATCCAGGATATCCCGAAAGCTAGGAGACATATGGCTGGAAAATGAAAAGATCTAGGAGCGTGGCCACATCATTATTTTGTGTCGCGTGGGGCCAGATGAGCACTCGGTGAACGGCGCAGGGATGCGAACGGACAGTTTCATAATGTGAAATTTTTTCTCCATAACGCTAAAACAGATTTCGTTTCCTTCTCATTTCTTTTGGTCTCTAGTACCTGCTTTTCCTCCCTCTCTGCAATATCAATTAACTCAACTCTGCAGCAGGGTGGCCAGAAAGGAAGAGAATGAGGCGATATCCATAACCTTAGGAAGTGTCGGACGAGTCGCAAACCAGGGAACTGCGGCTGCGACCCGCCGCGTCCAGTGCGGATTTCAGGGTTAGCACTGCCTTGGCGGTCATGGAGCGGACCGTGCCCTCGGTCCGCGGAGAATAGAGACCCGGGCGCCGAGAGGAGTTCACTGATCTTGCGGCAGGCTTTGAGGCCGTGGCTGGCTCTCATCCGCTGTCTTTTAGCACCATTATCACCGTTCTCGAGAAGTCATGGAAGAGGGCCCGCTGCCAGACCTCAGAGACATCGAGCTAAAGCTGGGACGCAAAGTACCCGAGAGCCTAGTGCGCTCGCTCCGCGGGGAGGAGCGGGTTCCCGGGGAAAGGGACAGAGACCCCTGCGGGGGGAGCTGCAGCGGCGGCGGCGGCGGTTGCTGCAGTAGCAGCAGCAGCTGCTGCAGCTTCCCTCCCTCCTTAACATCCTCCTCTTCGTCCTCCCCAACCTCTGGCTCCCCACGACGTAGCCACTCCAGCGCCCTGGAAAGGCTGGAAACCAAGCTTCACCTCCTCAGGCAAGAGATGGTGAGTGCGATGATCCAGCCGCCGGGGTGCGGGCCCGGGTGGAAAGATAGGGTGATCAGAGAATGGGGCCAGAGAGAGGCCATCAAGGGCTGCGGAGCACAGTACCGTGAGCGTGGGAAGCGCGGGGTTTAGAAGCACGCAGGGGGCGTGCGTCTGGAGGCAGCTACTGGGAAGCTTGTTTACCACGGACTTTGCTCGGTCATGCTTTGCTACAACAGCAGGGTCTGCTCTACTCTGTGTACTTTCTGATAGCGCCAATTCAATACGCCCAGCTCTGACTATGTAGCTGCCAGCCCAGCTTCCCGGGCACCAGCCAACTGAAGGTTTCCAGTCACTGCATCCATCTGGGGCCTACAGTGTGATTTTACACTTTCGGATAGGTTCAAAAGGTGGCTCAGTCCAATGCACTTACTGCAAAAATGCTTCCCGGCTTGCCGAGGGGTGGCGTGGCGGGGTCCTTGCAACCTTCCTTATAGCTTACTCTTCCACCACTACCGCTCCGCCTCTACCCCCACCCCCGCCCTCCTTAATGCAGCTGCAGCTGTTTCAAGGCCACTGTGGAGCATATTCTGCACAGCTGGCTCTTTAAACAGTGGCCCACTCGTCCTTGATGTGCTTATGAATAGATTGTTTCACTGTTTTGATCCAGGAAAGCAGGTGATCACCAGGCCCAGGGATTTGCTAATGACCATCTCCAACCCTTCTCCCTCAACCCTCAATCAACAATTGTTTTCTCTGCTGTTTGCAAACGTTGGCCTAAGAATAGGACAATGGGACAAGTACAAGGTCTAAGAATGCTTGTTATTCCGGATGCACTTAAACTAAAACATTTATTTACTTGCTTTGAGCTCTTGGGCGAGTCTCTATACCTCAGTTTATTTTCACAGTGATGAACTGATTGAAGGAAATTCTCTTGCTAAATCCTCTGAAGGAAATGACCAAGAATCAACAGCGTTTTCTACCAGCTTGCAGAGGACAAAGGTTTCAACAGTGGGCCTCTGTCATCCAGGGGATGGTGAGAAGGATTTCCGACAAAAATGACCTGGTCTTTGGGCGATTTGCATTTTAAAAGTTTCCTAGCTCCTCTTTCTGTAGTAGAAAACCCCAGGAAGGATTAAATTCCAAGCATAAAGTAATCTTGGCAAATATGTTAGTGCAAAAAGTCAGTCTTCAAAGGTCATGACCTACTAGAGCACTAAAACATCTCTCTAAAAACCTCTCACTAGATCTGTCTCTCTAAAAACCTCTCACTAGATCTTTAAGGCTGGCCAACTTAAAAACTTTAGTTTTTAAGGTCTCAATTATCCATTATCTTCCTACTTGGAATGTTCAACATGTTGAAAATGAATATCCATGTGAATATATGTACATTTATTTATACTTACATTTACATGTGAATATATGTACTATATATCTGTATACTATGCACTGCAAGGGAATTTATTATGATATTTATGTTTCGTTGCCTAAATACACACACATACACAAGTTATACATTTTGGTCATTCAATTAGTATTTATTAAACATTTACTATATCCTGATAATTAACTGCATGCTGAAAATGGAAAATGAAAATATCAAGGAGCCTGTCTATTAAGGACTCTCATTTATTATTTGTAGTATGCCAAAGCAAGTATGTTGAAGAATTACATAGGATAAAGGCAAAAATCTTATTATTTTTGACTAAGGATATGTTTTAGACATATTTTTCTTAATGAAAATTTCAAAGTAGATAAAAATCTGTTTCCTCAAACCAGATCTGGCATGTATAATATAGTATGTTAATAATTTTTTAAAAGCAAATAGACACAGTAACAGATTGCTAAGTTTACCATTCATTATATTTTGTATGTGAAGCTTCATTTTCTATAGACTTAGAAGAATTCTTGCCAAAGCAGATGCTTTTGTGATAATATTCTTAATAGTTCTTCATTTAGCAAATTTCACAGACTATGTGAGTTTAGAAAGAGGCGATTGGAAAAGTTATATTTCTTTGCCAAAGAGACCATTCCATCCATTTAGCATCTGTGGATGCTAAATATCTAAATATCTCAGCTTCAGCACAATTGTAAAACATCAATTTTTACAAAAAGGTGGAAGTGTTATAGATGCTGAACAGATGTAGTTCTGCAGTTCTTCCTGTCTCCTCCTAGCATCCCCCAGTAGACAAGTTAAAGATCTAGAGTTGGCCTACAAACTCTTAATCATGTCTATGTTCTTTTCTCTGCTATTCCAAGACACTATGTTAACTTCCTCAGTATTATGTGTGACCTCATATCTTATTCTCATTCTACTGACTTGTTGACACATTTTTCTTCTGGATGGTGTGGAATTATTAGGCTTTGGGCCTGCCCTTGGAACTCTTTCCAAAAAAAAAAAAAAACACCTTAGCTATGTGCAAACCTTCCCAGAGATGCCCAGGAATGAAGACTTTCTTCTTTCCCTATAAGAATGGATGTGTATACCAATGACATAGTACAACATACACTTGCAGGTAGTTAGTCACAACACTTAAGGTTCTTTATATACACATGATTTCATCATTATCTCTCTCTCACCTCCTTTTATGTTTTTATGGATAATTTCTCTAATTCTTGTGTAAAATGTTATAGTCACTATTGTTAAAGATCTATGAGATGAATTATAAAGCAAATGAGTTGACAAAGAGTTTGAAGAGGGATGAGAAACTATTCTTAATGGCCAAACTTCTTAATGCTGAACCACTTATTGACAACACAAAGAGTGTGATAAGTAATAGAAGGTGTTGGATGAAAAACAATGGAAAAGTAAATTTGCAGCCATATATATGATCCAATAGGCCAATTCAAGGTAACTTCCAGGATGCTTTTGGGAGGGAACAAATATTCCCAATGCAAAGTGTTTTTAGTTAATTTAGAGATAAGGGATTTTGACAATAGAGTAAACAAAGGCAGAAATATACATAGGAAATTTATTATGAAATTGAAAAATATGTTTGGGCCTCTTACACAAAGTCTGACCAATATTTGTTCACTACTGTTCAGTTCACTTTTTTTGTCTGTCGTATCATTTGCACATAAGGAAATGGGAAAGAGGAGGTATTTTCATCCACATTTTTTGAAGGAGATCACTATGTTCTAGAGAATGGTTGTGAAAGCAGGCCAAGGTCACATAGCTAATAAGAGAACAGAACCAGAACTTGAACTCATATCATCTGACTTCGTACTATGATTTTTCCCCATGCCAGTACGTATTCCAGTTATTTCTCTTCAAAATAAAGTATGGCCCTTATAAATCTGTAATATCTCAAAATCTAATGAAGTGCAAAGGGACTCACCAAAACAAGCCCTCAGAATGTGTGGCAGGGTTTGTTTTATATTTGGATTCATTCAATAGTCAATAGTAGTTACTAAGCTCCTACTGTGTGTCAAGCCTGCCTCTGACCTGGGGATATAGAACAAACTGGTGAAGTCCTACATTTGGAGTTTTCATTCCATTGAATATGCAAATACTTATTTTGAAAAATCTTCTTAAGAATGGAATTTAATATTGCTTATTAAATATTACTGTTTTAAAATCTCACAATACCCCAAATCTTTTTCCAATAAATGTAAATACTCTCTATCAAAATCTCTTTCAGTGTGTTATAATAAATTTTATATTATATCTTCTATTACAAGATATTCAAAAGGTTCCAGTGCTATTTCAATATGCCTATATCATACTTCTAGTTTGAGAGTGAAAATTATTTTCATCAATTTGTTCTAGAGGAAGTTTGAAATGAATACAATTATGAAGGCAATCACTAAAATATAGAAAATTAAAATCAGAAGGGGTTTAATGTATTCTGCCAAGTTTGTCTTCCTAGAGAATGACTATTCAGAAAATCTACCTATTGATGCCACATTCTGGATTCTAGTCAGTCCTGTATTATGTACAAGGTTTACCATTCTTAGTGTCATTATGAAAATTGGTTAGAAGGTACTGTGTCCTGATCTCCTTATTTTGGGCAATATTTGCACAGTAGTTGAATAATAGTGATGAATAAGAAATCTCAAACTAGTTACTTATCCTTTCTTACTATTAAAGTAGTCAAATTCTTCACCTGATAACTCACCTGTTTTAATACAGTTCCTTAAGCAATACTCAGAACAAGATAAAAACACACATACATACAGAAAAGTACACAAATTCTAAAAGCATAAATATAAATATAAATATAAATGTTAAAAATCTTGAAAATTGTATATTTATACTTTGGTTTTATTGACACTTTCTCTTATTGATGTTTCCCCTCTTGTTTTAAATATCTTGGTCATTTTTATAATAAAAAAGAAAAATGAAAATACTTTTTAAATTCCCTAAATTTTTTTCTTTTATTAAATTAACTTCACATTGCTTTGGGCACATTTCAAGGTAGTCTAGAAGATTTTTATCCTTTAGATACCCTGAGGTAGAAGCTGGAAAGTGGAAGTTATCTTCCTTGACAAGTTCCCAAGATACCAAAATGATAACATGGGAATATAATTTAACCAGAGAAAAGTTACAAACCAACATGTCAGCAGGTGCCTGAAGCCAAAGCAGACATCAGATATAAGTGTTAAGAAAAACAGATATAACTGAGGAGATATTTTACAGGAAAAGTGTCTTGTGCAAGAATTAAAAGCAATAGTAACTATGCAAAGTAAGGGCTTCATATTAATGATAAAGACATCACGGAAATGAGGAAGCTGATTCCTGACAGTGGCTTTTTCTGCCATTTTGCCCATAGAATGTTAATATACTTAATGGAATAAATACATCTGTTTAAACATACTTCCTTAGTCAGTGGGTCAGATTAACAGCAGAGCAAACAAATGCAGTAATGTCACTTTATTAGAAACCCAGTCATATTTTAGAGGACTTAAATATAACTCAGAAACATTGAACTTTGTAAAAGCCACAGTTCTGTCCTGTACCTAGGAATATATGTTGGAATGATTGACGCACACGTGAAAAACATTTTTTGACAGAAAAAAAA